TTGGAGAGGTGAGAATGGAGTTGTGGATACCTGTTGTGGTGGTTTACCTCAAGCCAGCAGCTAAGCTCCATGCATCCCTTGCTGACTGGTGTTCGCGAGAGAATTGGAAGGGTAAAAGTGTGAAAACTTTGAGTTGAGATGAAGACAGGTAAGTAAGGTATAAAAAAAAAAGGTGTACAGGAGGAGGGGAATGAAAGCAAAGAAAAACAAAGCAAAGAAACACAAGTGATGCCAAAAAAGCAATAGCTCATCACCAGGAGACCCATGCCCAGCCATTCCCCAAGCAACAGCAGGCACCCACAACTCCCTCCCAAGTTTTTATTGCTGAGCATGACATTGTATGGTCTGGTATATCCCTTTGGCCAGTTGAGGTGAGATGTCCCAACTGTGTCTCCTCCCAGCTCCTTGTGCACCCCAGCCTACTCACTGGCAGGACAGCATGAGAAGCAGAAAGGCCTTGATGCTATGTGAGCACTGCTCAGCAATAACTAAAACATCCCTGTGTTATCACACTGGTTTCAGCACAAAACTAATACACAGCAACAGGGAAGCTACTGTGAAGAAAATTATCTTGGTCCCAGCTGAAACCAGTACACCTGTATAACATAGGTCTTGGGTCCTTTCAGAGATTCCTCTGAAGTGGTGATGGTCTGTACAAGTATAGATGAAATGGGAAATTATGTTGACACTAATGTACTTGACTCATTTTACCTGCTTTGTGGAACAGTTAATGCATAACGTTGTATAATTGCAAAATAATGCATCTCTCTGATCCGCTCTATTTTCTGTGTGCAAAAGCCACACATATTTCCATTGATTCTGTGCTAGACCTCTGTAAAGAGGTTTTCTTCTGGAGCTGTATGAAAGTGAGAGTTCGGGAGGACTTTATTCTGTTACTTCTGCTGCCCAGTATTTAAGAGTACTACATAAACCCCAATTAGTTCCGTTTTGGGCCACGTTTTCCTGTCAGTGTCATAGAATAATCTGAGCTATTTGCCATAGTAATTCTGTGTTTACATCCCAGATAACACAGAGGAAGACTCTGGAAGCTGTAGTCCTTTTCTGCAGTTGTCTTCTCCTGTTCCAGCATCTTTCATCCTCTCTTACTCTTCCTTCCCAAAATGTACGGTGATGCTGAGATAATCAGCTTTCCTAGCTCTTGGATCCTCTCCTTTGTGATTTTGGGTGTGTGTTTTGGACAGGGGGAGAGCAAAAAAAGGAAGCAGCCTATGTTTTGAAGCCTGGTTCATCTTCTTTTTCTAGCTAATCTTTAGTTTTGTCCCATTTAGAAGAACGTATCGATCAGTGTTTGGGTGCATCTGTCTTTAACAGATTATTTATCTGGCATGAGAATTGTTAATTACCTTTATTATAACCTGCTTTTCTGCTGATAAAGCTGCTTGAATTTTTCTACGCTTTCTGCTGGATGTGGTTGCTACATGATCATGGAATTGTGCTGTGATTAACTTGTGTTTTGAAGTGGAGAGCAGAGGGAGCAATCAGACAGTGAAGGAAATTGGGTTTTCTCTGCACTCAAGGGTCAAAGTAAAGTTTAAGTCTGCTGACTACATGATTCATAGTAATGGTATCATATCATGCACTTATCTGCCATTTAAAATATTTTAAGTCTTCTAAAATAATTGATGTTGGCCACTGCAAGATCCTTTCTTTCTATTTAACAAGGGTTATAAAATCCATCCTTTCTCGTTAATAGACTGATGCAGTGCTTCTCAAAATGGTATTAACATTTAATTAGCTTGACACTTGAGTAAGCTCTTTCCTTGTATTTGTAGTATGCTTCCTTCCGTTACAGAAATTTCCATTTTCTGATGTGAGTTGTTGTGATCTGTTCTGAAGACAACCTCTCGTAGTTTTTGAAAAGAATTGTGATGGTTTCTTGGAATATCAGCAGTGCATTGAGGGCTCTAAGCAGCTCTGATTGGCTTTTTAAAATTATTATTATTATTATTATTATTTTGGTAGCCTTTGAAAGTACCATTATAGTTTACGAAGCACAGAATACATTTGGAGGTAATCTGATGTCCCACCAAGATGACAGCTGCCTGGGTTTAATACATTCTTTGAGTTCAAGAATAAAATGAGTTAGTGCAAGGCGGAACTGCTGTTTCTGATCTTTCTTTTCCTGAAAGTTATTTCATATTTGTCTGTTTGCCAAGGACTGTCTTGGTTCATGCAGTGCTTTCTGCTCCAGAAATTTGCTTAAGCCTACAGTTTAACCACTGTTTGGGAACCTGTAAAGTTGGCAGGGCTGTCTGAACTCTCACCTGCTGTCATAGCTGCTTTCAGTAGTGCCAGAGGAATATTTGCACTTGGGACATGTGCTGTCTTTTACTGGAAAAATACTGATGTTTGTGGAGAAAGGGAGAGGGTGTGGAGCTGAGGACTGGCTTACTTGTACTTCTTTAACGATTTTCACACTATTTCAGTACTCACAACTGTTTCTATTCTGACCAGCGAACAAGATCCACCATCGATTGCCCCTTCCCTAGAGGGGAGCAGTTAACCTCTGGGATTAGAGCCTTGCAGTGCCTGCTGAGGCTGAGGAGGGCAACCAGAATTGGATATAGAGTGGAGCTTTGCATTCTGTCGTTTTATTGATGTAGTCTGACATAATTGTTTTTTCTATACTTGTTTGTTCCTCCCCCCCCACCAAAGTATATAATAACCTGTAAATATAGAAATCTGTGTGCTGTCAATAGAGTAGCTGAATCCTGTACCTAAGTGATGTTAAGTAAAACTGTCAAATAAACTGTGAAGTTTTTCGCGTTATTAAAATCTGATAGAATTGTGAACTGAAATTCGCGTTACTAGTTGACATTGATTGTTTTATCTTGAATTGAAATATCGTCTTTCTTCATATTAAATACCATAAAATGGGTTATCATCTGGAGTTATAATTTAAATATAAGACAGTAGAAAGGTTTGTTAGCATGACTTAAGTTCAAATTTTATAACTAAGTGGTTTCTAAATTTGTGTGTTAATAATTTTAAAATAGAACTTAGTATATAGAAAAGGAGGATTTAAAGGTGTAATTCAAACTAGTTTGAGTTCAGTAAGACATGATTTCTACTTTTTCGTTTGGTGTCTGCCCCCCATGACACTACTCTAACACCTTGTGTCATTTTACAGGCAAAACCCTTTAATATTTCATTGCAGTTATTAATGGGATTACTATCCGAGCAGAGCATTAGGATTCCCTTAGTTTCTGTAGCCTGCTGTGTTCCATTCTGTGTTCAAAATTGTTGGGTATCGAGCAAGAATCTGCTCAGCGTTGTTGCTTTATATGGAAACTTTGAGCTTGGAAGCCGTTCTTCAGTCGCGGTTGTTGGGTGATGATGCTGTTTGTTGGACGGACTTCAGAGCATCTCAGGAGGAGAGTTCTGGGTGTGAATGCTGTAAAAATAACAAGATACAATAACGAAAGATATGAAGAAGCTGGGAAGGAGGAAGAGAGTTTCTTCTCCTTCCTGTTGGGCAGGAATTTGTCTGCAAGCGAGGAAACTGATCAAGTATCATAACCTGGTAGGAAGGCGTACTTTTCTGAAACATCACTAACTATAAGATGACTTGTTGCTGTTACTGTTCCTTATTGAGGAATATTGAATATCTGGAGTATGGCATTGTTTTAATGTTTTGTCTAGTGCTGGGTAGCACAGATTTGAACCACTTCTGGACTGGCTGTTTCTCAGATGAACCACTGGCCTGCTCTCCTTTGGGTTTTACTGAGGGTGAACAGGAGCATCAGTCATATCACCAATAAGAGATTTTAGATTGATGCGCACTCCTTATGTTCACTTTTATCGATGGTGAACAACTCCATTAGTAAACATATTTGACACTAGTGATTTGTGATAAAGTAACAAACTTAGGAACCTGTGTTGTGTAGGTGAATCAGTATGACTGTGAAACAGTAAATGAGGGATAGGACACAGACAAAGTGTGCTTTTGCTGCATGGAAGCTTAGTTAGAAATAATTTTTTTTTTTTGTCAGAATCAATCCCTGCAATTAGTTTAAAGCTTATACACAAAAATCACAGTAAAGCGTTGGTTTTAGTTGATTGTGGTTTTGCATGTTTGAGCGGGATTCAATGTTGCAGTGGATTTCCCGAGATGATTTCTGAAAATGTACATACATGCACACATATATACATATATTTTCATACTTGATCCTGTACATTTTATTTCAAGAATGTATTCCTCCAGCATTGGAAATCCTAATCTTTGTGGAATTTCCTATGATTTAAGTGTGCTAAATAACTTGATAATACAGATAAAAGTATTGCTGAAATTGAAAATGTTTCCTAAAATTAGTTTCAGTAATTTAAAATTGCTTTTAAAATATGCTGCAAAAAATTACCTAGAATGTGTTGTCAACAGCAAGTGTTAAAGTATTAGTCCTTCTGTTTTAAGGTATTTTAAGATGGCATGAAATAGAGGCGCAACAGGCTTATTTTTCCCCTCCCCTCTAGTTATTACTGTGGTGTTGAATGCTGTTTAAAACCAAGGATAATTATTAATCATCAAGGTTTCATGTAAGAATCAGCAGTGGTGGCTTCTTTGTTTTTTCTGTATAAACCATATTTAACAAGCAGTAGTATATCCTTTATTGATAGATTGATAATGTTAATATTATTTGCATTTTCTATATATGTGAGCAGTGAAAAGAGCTTTCCAATGTCTTGCCAGAAACATTCTATGGATGTGATGTTTAGCTGGCATGACTGGATGCAGATTTATTAAGTTTTGAATATAGATTTGTAAGCTACTTTTGATACGGGTTGCAACCAATGCAGGTGAAGAGTAGAAGCTCTTATGGAACTGCTTATAAATATGTATTTTCTGTTTTAAACTAATCCTGGTTTCAAATATTTGCCTAAATAGTTTTGCTTTCCAATAATTTTCAGTTATTTAATTTAATATTTGTGGTTATGATGCCATTTCCATAACTATGCCTTTGTTTCATTTTACAGAGGAAATAAAGGCTGAAACAGAAAAGCAAAGGTATGTGATAGTTCATCATATTGAGCAATAGTGCTTTACCTTCTTAAAATGTGTTCTGCCTTGGGAGTACGGGCTCTCTCTGAAAAGTATTTCTAATGTATTCTGTAAGGTTGGTGGTATCTGGAAACATGCTCAAAGTGCTGCTTCTGGATCTCATGGTGCAAAGCACAGGGCCAGGGGACAGAGGCAGAAGATGGCTTAGAGGGAGCAGACTGGTGGTGTCTGGCCAGGGAGGGTAGCAGTGGGGTCCAGAGTCAGAACAGGTCTTTGTGGGCGGCACAGGTGGAGGGGCCTGAAAAGATAATGTCTAGGAAGGACCTTGTTAGGGAATAGGAATTCCTGGAGCCAATTCTTCTAGGAGTGAAGGTAGAAGCCAGAATTAACACTCGACACCCTTCCACACTCAACAAGTAAATTTTGAAGTGTTGGTAAACTGTGGAGTGCATTATTAGTATTTAATGATATGTTCCGCAGGATCTTTTTCCCCACTCAGTGTAGGTTACTAACCGTGAGTCAGGGCTGTGTGGTGAAGGCTGTTTATGCCGCTCGTTGAAAGAACTGGATCAGTGGGTGAAACCGATGATGAAAGTGTTCTTACGGCTTAAGCAGATGAGAGCTGCTTAGGGACCTGCTTTCTGCCCTGGAACTGAATTTCTGGTTTAGGCAAATCATTTAAACCACAGCAGTCAAAATTGGGTGCTAAGGATTTCTGCTTTGTCTCCTGAAATCTACAAGTTTTGGTTTGGAAAATGTAAGCACTCGTAAGGGAAGCCAATGGAACCTTGTTTCAGAAAATGTGAAGCACAATTTAATATCAAATATGCTGAACAATTCAGTCTCACAGCTTATCAAATTTGGCACCTAAAAATTAGTGGATGCATCTGACTGAGTCACTGTGTTTCAATTTCCACCAACAAAATAGTCGATACCATCAGTTCATGGTAAGGTTGGAAAAATAACTTTGTGTAGTGTTCAGATAATGTTGCACCGAGCACCACAAGGCAGTCTTGGACAGAAAGTAATAATGTGTTAGGTTTTAGTTAGAGCAGAATAATTAAATAAAAAATCCACATTTTGAGGAATGATAAGGAAAAAATACTTAACATGAAATAGTGAGTGGTGTTTGTTATGCACACTGAAAAAAGAAAAGTAGTATCTGATCCTGAGGTTAAATAACCTGCTAAAACTAATAAGAGAGATGAATTATAATGAGGTATACAAGCATGGTTCAGCCATTTCTGAACTTTTGGCTGCTTAAATTATATCCTATTAGTATTTGAAGTTGTGGTTTTTGGGGTATAATGCTATATGTCTTAGCCTATGTACATTTTCTAAATAGATTTTGATTTCTTCAGTGCTGTCCTTATTCTGACAGTAGCTTTTTGCTGCTATGAAGGCATTGCTGGATGTTAAAACTATGAAGGGATTTGTCCTGTTCTTACTGTAGGGTCAATTTTTTTAGATGCAGTAGAAAATACTGTGTCTCTCTGTCTAAGCCTTAGAATAGAGAAACCTCTTGGTTTATTGAATATTTGCAACTTCTTATTTCTGCATTTGAGATTTTAATATCCTAAAAAGAGGCTTCTAGTCATAATTCTTTGAAGTTTTCCAGTCCCTATTCAAGGAAACTGATCTCACAGTTCACCTGCATTGAAAAATAGGTCATTGCCCCTTCCCAGAAATTTTGCATGGAAAACTGCTTCTTTTCTTTTGTTTGTTTTTAAACAGAACCAGTGTTTAGTAGTGGGATGGACAGGAATGGAACAGGAAAGGACAGGCTGATTTATGTAACCACTGCACAGCAAATGCTGCCCAAATAATTTTTTAAATTCATTTTTAGTCTGTTTCTGTAGCTGATAGGTAAATATCTGCATATTTCCTAATCCTCATGCTTGGTAGATCCCTTGGTGGAAGAATGTTTTGTTAGGGACAGTTTCTGGTCTCACAGTACGCTGGGAGAACAATCAATCAGCTCAAGTAATTTCTTGGCTGTCTTTAAGACAAAAAGACTTCTGTTTCTTTTCTCCTCTCTCCCTGCTGTGCTCTTCCCTTTCATCACCAGCAAGGTGAAGGAAAAATGGAGCATCACCTTCCCTATTTATTGTTTTGGGCATTTTTTAAATAGCCTTGACTTAAGAGAAGCTTCAGGTTTCTGCAGTAGCTGTGGCATGGGTTCTTCATTTTCAGAATCTCATCATGGCCAACTCCTTGTTTCTGAAAAGTTTATTTCTGGAGTGCTCTTTTAACTTAATTTTAATGGTAACAATAAACATAATCACTAGGTGAAGAACAACCTGTCGTAAGACATGAGCAAGAGATACCACCCTTCCATTCCTCAGAGAAAAGCTTTAATAGGAATTTCAGAGAGGTTTATTAATGTAGAAGAATCATGTACTTACTCTGCAACTTATCTGATTTGGGGTTTGTCCAAAAGAGCTCTGTTTCCAGCAAAACACTATTGGGGAATAAATAATGTTATGCATCCAACAGAAAAACAAACCTCTGCTCTTCTTCAGGAGAAAAAACATGTAGGGATAAATTATTAAGCCTTCAAAAGAAGTTATTTAGTAGAAAGTAGAATCTTAATGCTAATTATTCACTATTAAAACTTAGAATTTAGGTGTCCTTTTAAAGCAGGAGGGCTGTTTGAATGTGATACTGAACATCTCTTAAGGACAACACAGCTTAATCCTTGAGAAGCTGAAGCATAGCAATAATTTATCATATTGGTTAGTTTAAGGCTTCCTCCACAGAACATGGGACTGCATTCATTCTTTGGGTTTATAAGAAGCTCTTAGCAGTTCATTCTTCTATTTCAGCAGCATGAAGAAGTATATATTTACTGCTGTCTGCATTCCTTGAAGCATCTGCGTTAATTTGCAACAAGTGCATAGGGCCTGGATTTGAAATGAGTTGTTCTGTAAAGATCTATTTGAATTAGCTCTTAGTCTTGCATTAGATTACTGCAAGAATTTTGTAATCCTTCAGTGCAGAATATGAAGTTACACTTTTTCTTTCATTACACCACTTACGAAACCTGTGTAAGATATTGTCTTTTACCCTTTATGTGTAAAGATACTGATGTGTGCACAAAAAAAGGTCAGGAATACTTTATATAAAGGTGATGAGCTGTTCTGTGCTCCAATGAAAACTCCAAACATCATGCTGTGAGTCAAAGGCAAACTGCATTGATGCACACAAATTAGTGAAAAATTACCTATTCTTAATTGCCCATTTTTACCTAAGTATCAATGAGCATGTCCTTTCTAAAGGTGCTGTAAGCAATAAGACTTCAACAGTTAATAATTTTCTCAAATTTTGTACAGTTGGTTGTATCAGATCCATTACCCAAGTGAGATACATTGGTAACCATTGTACTCTTAAATTCTGTGGTGTCATCTGAAGTAGAGATAGAACAAAGTTTTGGGTTTGTTTGGGTTTTTTTGGTTGTATGTTTTTTTTCCTCCTGAGTACATCTAGGATTATGTCTAGGATTAAAGTTCCGATATGATTTAATCTCCAAAATAGATCTACTTTCACTAAAATACTGAACCAAACTTGTATCACAGTAGAGTAGTTGAGTAGTTAAAAACTTTCAGGATAATTTAAAAATATTTTTAGCAAGTTGTATTTTTATCTCTTCTAGTAGTAAAATTTCTGCCTAGACTTCTCTGGAAATTATCATTGCATGTGGAAATGATACTGAATAGATTTCCCTTCCTCCCCTCTGCCTTCACCAAGCAAGTAAGGGTAGTCTTTTCCAGTTGTCAGAGGAATAAGTCTTTTTGCCTTCAAATCAGCAGGGACCGCTGCGTATGTACGTAGCACGCAAGTGGGTCGATTTGCCTGATCAGTAAAGGAGACAGATGAAGTATAAAAGCTGTTAAGAATATGACCATATTACCATTGTCTTAACTTCATAGAAGTTACTCTTTCCTAATGTTCATTTTCTTGATATTTTATATCGTTCATAAACATTGTGGTGCTGAGGGCTATATGTGTGATCACTTGCAGCATTCTAATACAGTCATTCTGTTTAGTCCCCCCCATGGAGAAGCAAAGCCTGGTTCAAGTACTCTTCCACCGGTGAAATCAAAGACAAGCTTCATTGAAGCAGACAAGTACTTCCTGCCTTTTGAATTGGCGTGCCAGTCGAAATGCCCCCGGATTGTCAGTACATCTCTGGATTGTTTGCAGGTCTGTATGAAGATGAGCCATAACTCTCTAATATGAAATCCTGTTGATTTGAAGGGGAAGTACAGTCGTATGTAACAAGTAATGTTGTTGTTTTTCTATTATTTTACTTGATTGCATGCACAACCAAATCAAATATATTTCTGACAGAAAGTGAATGTATGTCTTATTATGTAGTGCATGTATGTGTTTATTCAGATACGTATCTATTACCACAGACAGTTACATGTTTGGATCAGTTTTAATATGGTAGTGTGCAACTACCTACTTTCCTGTTTATGTGTTGAAATAACACAGCAAGTAGAGCATTACCAAATTCATTTTGTGCTATTTATAATTACAGTAAAATATTTTATTTCTGAGAAGTCTGGTTTCTCAAAACTCATAGGCTCCTGTAATGCTTTCTGAACAAAGTCTACAGCATAGAATTTAGACATTTGTTCTCCTGAGTAGCCCAACAGTGAACTCAATTAATACGTTGATGTTCGCTGACAGTGCATGCCTGGCATGCTGGCATACTATGATGCCTTGCTACTCCACGTAATTTTCAGTAGGTGGACCATAGAGATTTACAAATACTGAAGTGTTTGGAAGAGGATTTTCTTAATTTTGTAATAAATTCCCATTCAAAGTATCAAAGATGTAGAGGGAGAAAGGGATAACAGAGCGCTTAAAAACAAGCTAGCTAGTGGCTTAAATAGACAGCATTTGCAGCTGGTTTATCTGGTATTAAAAACATTTGTGTGTTGTCTTCATATGAAGAATTGTGTGATGTGAGTTAGTTTTTAGAATCCTACTTGTTTTAAGACATTGTTAGTTGATGAACAAAAGCTTTAATGTTAAGCTTGCTGACAGACTTTGTATTGCAGTTGCTGGGTGAAAATTGAATAAATCTGGAGGGCCTTTAAAAAAAACCCTTGATGTTTTATTAGGCTTGGGGTAAAATGTACTGTTTTAATTATTCTGTGCGAGTTGGAGCTATCAAGTGAATTTATTTATTATAACAAAAAACTGACTTGTTTGGGTTTTTTTTCTTCTCTCCAGAAACTTATAGCATATGGGCACTTGACAGGGAATGCTCCAGACAGTACAGCTCCAGGCAAAAAATTAATTGATAGGATTATCGAGACAATATGTGGCTGTTTTCAAGGTCCTCAAACAGATGAAGGGGTTCAACTACAAATAATAAAGGTAATATGATCAGTACTTACAGTGTTGACAGCAAGAAGACAATCATGGCCTCAGAGTTCAAAAGCAGAAGTGTTTAATTTGTAAGTGTGATGGTAGTTTTAAAATATTTTGCTGATTCACTTTGTTTGAGATGGAAACTGTGTTAT